GCAGAGCCTCCTGGAAAGCTGAGTCCCTCAAGAGGGTGCCACAGTATGAGGCCTGATGGGGGCGTGACTGTAAAGGGAAGAAGAATGTGCGTGGAGAAGGTGGGAGGAGCTGGGCCTGTTCGCTAGTCTCCCCTGGCACACCAAAGAGCCATCCTTCAATGGGTGACACTGAAGGAGCCACAGAAGTAATCATTTTGGAGGGACAGGAAGGTGTGGGGACCTTTCCTATGTACAACCATCCATCTATCCATCCATCGATCCATCGATCCATCCATCCATCCATCCATCCATCCATCCATCCATCCAATTATCTACCCACCCATCCACCCATCTATACCTCCACTTATCCACTCATTTACCCATCCATTCATTCATCTACCCACTCTTCCGTCCTTTCATCCATTTAACCATTCACCATCCATCCACCCATCCATTCATTCACCCATTCATCCACCCACCCATCCTGATTCTCAGGTGCTTAACACCAGTGGCTGAAAAAATGACGAATCATTTGCAGAGACCAGGATGACTCTGGAAGAAATAGGTTCGAACAACAGTGGGACACACACCTCAGTCTAAACACACAGGCTCTGGAGTCAGAGAGACCCGGTTTGACTCTGAGCCCTACCACTTTCTACCTTACCCTGGTGCCAGTCACCCAACTCCTCTAAGTCTCTGTGCCCTCGCCTGGAAAACGGGGCTTGTCACTTCATGGGGACGTTACGGTGATTCATGTAACATGCTTAGCACAGTGCCTGCACGAGGTCAGAGCTCAGAGCTCAGATAAAGGCACTTTTACTCCCTACCTGCCCCCTGGATGGGGAGCTCCTCACTCTCACCTCAGCAGCCCTGCTCTGATTCTGTCCCAACAGGCCCTGACAGCACCACTCCCTCCACACCCCTCCTCAGGTTCTGGAGCCTAGGGATACGGGGCACCCAGCAGGGCCCTGCTGGTTCCAGAACCAAGCAAGATCACAGACCACATTTTGCAAGAGTGGGAGAGAGCAGGGGAATTCATCTGCCTGGAACACAACAAGAAGCCCCATTCATACTGGTTTCCCAAAGCAGCTCTACTTGGCAGGGAAGGATCCCCATGACCCCTCTCTTCTTCGCGAGGAGCTTGTAGTTAGGAGCTGTGTATTGAAAGGGACAAAGTGCGGTGAGGCTCTGTTTCCGGGCCGAGTCCTCTGAGAAGTGGGATTGGAAAGGTGCTATTGGCAGTCACCTAAGAGGGCTCAGTGTTGCTGTTTGCTTGTCTGACCTCCCCAGTGGGAGTGAAGGCTGTGGCTCAGTCTCCACAGCCTTAGGCGTGAGCTCATCTATTCTCATCTCCATGCTGATGACTCTCTGATATCTAGCTCCCGACCTGGTCTCCCTCTGGAATTTCAGGCCCACAGCTCCAACTGTGAATGTTAATGTCTCTATCTTTTCAGACTTAGAATTTCCACTTGGTTCTTTATTAGAGTGTCCATTTCTCTGCCTAGATTCCTTATCTGTTTCCTTATTAAGACTATATTTTCCATTAATTCTTCAAGCATATTATCTTTTAACTTTGGGGCAATGTTATAAGAGCTGTTTTGAAAGGTTTGTTTGCTAAATCTATTATCCAGGCCACTTTAGGGTTGGTTTCCATTGACTGTTGTTTTTCATTCTTGACTATGAGTCACATTTTCTTGTTTCTTTGTACATTTGAAATTGCTGATTACATATTGGACAAGCCCTGGAGAGGGAGAGGGTGTTTCTACAGACTGATCACTGCTGGCTATGATTTG